AAAGAATCCGCCATTTCCAGAAACAGATGTTTACTTTGTTTTCCGAATCATTCAGATTGGCGTTTTGTTTTGAGAAACATTCGACTGCATTCAATAAAGTTAACAATGATACAAAACACGGGTGAAATATGTTTTCTATTATTGTAACCTTCGTTCGGCACTGACATCAGATGCACGTGTGCAACTATGTATATCCAGACATCGGTTAAACGGATAGAATTTAACATTAATACATCATCTGGGCCATTCGTTATCTATGCAGCGTTTACTTCTTGACCTATATTTACTAGTAAATAGATGTGATACCACACAATTCTGTTCATTTCCTAAAAAAGATAGTGAGTTTGGTAAGGACTAAATAAGTTTCTAGCAAAAAGGATAAGGAGGTAGCTTGTAGTTGTAGATTAGACCTGCTCATGAGTTTTTTCTTTATCTTGGGTCTTAAGGAATTTCGACATTCTACAAGTTTAGTACAATAAACATTGATCTCAGTCAGTAAGTGTGGGAGAGCCATGCTTCGGCACGAATGGGTCGGCTCGACCGGAGTGATACCACGGCCTCAGAGAAAACTGGCGTGAAATAACCACAGCGTTGTGTTTCGCCGTGTGAGTGAGGTTACCGGAGGCCCAATCCTTCCCCTCCCCCAATCCCTCCTAAATCCCTAAATCTTCAAATCCCTAATCCCTAAAAGGTCGGCAACACACTCGTAACTCCTCCATTGCGAGTGTCCATGGGCGGCGCTGATTGCTTACCATCAGGTAAACGTCTGCTCGTTTGCCGACCTATTAAATAAATAAAAATAAAAAATAATAAAAGTTCGGATGCCGTGGTCACGGTACCTTATTGTGCTGGCCTCGTAACCCTGGCTAAACATCGGCCTATTGAACCCTATCTATAGTGGTTTATTGGGTCCTTACTACCGGCGAGCTAACCTTGCTCGCTCGTTTACGGTATCGGTCGCTCGAACGACCGGATTGTCGCCTACTACGGGCTGGGGCGTGAGGTGGGTAGTTCTTTCACGCACTCACCCTCCTTCTTTGCGAGCAAAAATGCTTCACGGCAAGAGAAGACAGCTTTTCAGCTCCTCTCGCTTCGCAACATGATCTTGACCTATATCCGGGCGCGTACCTACTATCGTATTAGATATTTGATTGTTTAAGACAATCAATACTACTACTACTACAGGGTCCAAGGCCTTTACTTACATTCGTTTATAAGAACATTATTATTTGTAATATGTTACTGAAATATGCGGGATTTAGCGGTTAGGTACAGTTTCATAAAATTAACAGCAGTTTCTCTAACCTTCGTAAATAGATACACAAATATCAACCTTGTGCAAAGGAATTTAAGTAAATTTCACACATTCGTGTTACGTTGTAACAGTTCATTGTCAAAGAAGCCTTAGTAACTCAGACGGAGGGCAGTGATTTATTTATGAAACCCATTAGTATTACAAGTACTAAGATATCATAAATGTATTAGTATGATCATTATCGATAAGAGGGCTATTTGCGACACTTTAATTTCGCTTGGGCACTTCTAAAATAATAAGAATCGAAAAATCTGTAAATAAATCTGCTTTATACCAATAACTCAACAAAAGCTATGTAACCTTTGCCATTGAATTGCAACATAAACACAAACCATGGTTAACGGACAGAGGAAAACCTTTAAAATCACTTGAGACGACCTCGTTTAAAGACGAATTACAGCTGATGATGCAATGCATTTACTTTAGTACATTATGCTCACATGTAGTGATGCAAATTGAGATGGCAGTGTCGCCGTAATCACATGTGTCATCGACTGAAAGATAGAAATAAGTATCTAGTCGTTTTCAGCAGAGCTAAATTTGCATTCTCTGAAGAACGAATGAAGGATCAAATTCGAAACGAGGTGATCCGACAGAGAACTAAAGTAATCGACATAGCTTAAAGGATTAGCAAACATAATTGTTAGTAGATAGGCCACAGTTCGGAAAACCAATGACCGTTGGGGTCGGCGTGTTTTGAAGAGGAGATCGCGTAGGCAAACGCAGGATAGGGCGGTCTCCAGCTGGAGTGGAGATATTTGGGAATGAGCACCTAACCTTATTATTATTCTGGTATGTTAGTTAGAATAAATATTTTTGACTTTGATATCGGCAAAGAGGCTGGCAGTTTTTGATGCGTAAAGTTGAAAAACCACCTCCACCAAGAGATGCATATGTTATGCAACAGTGGACAGAAGAGGGCAGATGATGCCATAATTTACATTTAATTGATTCTATTGGATAGTACAGGTGTGTGTAGTTTATCAGACACAGAATAACTAATTAATGTAAAGAGATTATCTGAACGGGCTATTACTTTTAATTACAATGCCTTTCCATTTGATCTGGGACATAAGTATACGATTAGCGTCACGTTTGAATAACCGAACAACAATACCATTTAGATCTGTAAGTGGGAGAAGTTAAAAAAACAAATGCATAAAGGTAGAAAGATGAAGGTCACTCGTGAAGGAACCTTTCAACTTTATTTAGATATCAATATCATGAGAACCATGCGTAAGTGTTATTGATAACTTTTTTCACGAAAAACATATCTTTAGACGTTTTAAGAAGACACTTCACTGATACACGCCTTTGGGCACTAATATTAAGACAAATATATTATAAATACAAGTCGTTTATTGCATTTTTATAGCTGTTATAAATCAATTCTGATATTACTTGGATAAGTGATAAGTATTTACATAACTTATTCATTAAGCAATTTTATTGTTTCAATTATTATCTTAATAGATTGTGTTTTATGTGTCCGTTGTCATACCATATAAGTTTTAGCAATACGAAACGCGATCACAGATAAAATTCCTATAACCCTATGGATTTCATTGACAAAGATTTCATATACAGATGACGAAAAAAAGGAGCTTCAGATTAGATTTGGAGTCTGTGAGATTTTTGATCGTGAAATATTTAAATATTCAGTAGCCGGTTAACGATTTCACGATAAGATAATCCGGATAACGGTTGCGGATGCAAGCGCAATAATATTCAGCGGCCCCATCCAGGAGCAGGTATGGGGTAGATTTTATTCAGTAAGAGCCTGACACTCCCCGTCATCCCACTCCCGGCGGGACAAAGGTTGATGGTTTGTCCCGCCCTCCTTAAAAGAAAGATGAGTAATATTTTTAAAGACCTAGTGACGAGCAAAATATAGAACGTACTTTTCTTTGATTTCGCAAATGCTATTTTCAATAAATTATTTAAAGTTAATCAAAATTTGGAGCTTGCCAGCCAATTCAGAAGGATGATAGAAACGATAAGATAAAACTTCGCTTACACAGGAAATGGTGGCGGAAGTCATTTTTTTTCACAGGCTATTGGTAAATAAATCGTAGCCCAAAGAAGACGAAGTGGGGTTCCAATTCATACTAATGAAATATGTACATATTATAAATCGCAAGATTTTGTTGGTATGAAAGCGATTATATCTGAAATTAAGGGTCCATGATGAATTTATATGTTGGATAGTCCATTAATTGTGGAACACTATAGGCTATAAAGCATCACGCTACGACTTATAGGAGCCGAAAACCAGGTGAAACTGCGCGGGAGTAACTAGTATAATATAAAATTGAAACATAATTATTTTATCTTTAGACCTGGGCTTTGATGGACCGATGGTTTTCTGCAGACTTAATGAAAGCATATACTTATATACATTTGCAAAGAATTTTAATTACCTATATGCTGTTTAATGACATCTAGGTACCTACTTACTTTTTTAAACTTGAAATAGGCATTAATTAAATTACTGGAGCGAGTTCTGATAACAAAATGACTAACAAAATTAAGATGTTGCAAGATCTATACACTAACTAACTACCATTATGACTAATTGACAAGAGATAAGACTGTGACGTCATCCATCAAAATGCTGTATGACCTAATGACTAAGATAATGGAAGTATAATAATCAAAACGGGTTTTATATGATACTAGCTACTCTCGCGCGGTTTCACCCGCTGCTCTGCTCCATTTGATCGTATCGTGATGTTTTATAGCCTATAGCACTCAGGAACATTGTAGCTACCTATCAGTGAAAGAATTTTCGCTATCCGACCAGCGGTTCCAAAGATTACCCCCTACATACAAACTTACATATTTTACCTCTTTATAATATTAGTATAGACTAAAAGATTTATTTATTTATTTATTCATATTGCACAATGTACATATAATGTCAAGTATAACATACAGCCAGTACAGTACATTACCCTGTTAGGGTGCAGCAGCCTTAGAATTAAGAGTGTTAATATGTATAACTTTAAAACCTTTATTTAAAGTGTGGGGTTGAGTATTTAGTTTAAATATGTTTTATATATTCTGATCATTGTAATTTGGACTTCAATGCTAGTATGCAAAGCTATGCCATTCATTTTTAAGATGTGATCAGTAGGTATGAATTTATTTCAGCTGCATAATTTGTGGTCAATGTGAGTGCCATTACCGATGAAGCACTAACTTCTAGAGTAAACAAGATAAGTTTACTAAACATAGTAACATATTTTTTTAGCAGGTTTATCCACATTACCAGTCTAAGTTACCTATGTATACATAGGCTAACAATATACATACATTTCTATTCCAGACCATAATCTATCTGTGCATTTATTCATACTCACAAAAACTTGACATAGTATGAGTAGGATTTTTGCCAATAAGCAATAATTCCGAATATTTATACCAATTTATTCTTAACGATATCTGTGCTTTAGTTAATAAAGCACAGATAAAGAATAGCAAACTACTAGCACCATCCTTTTTTAATGACTGTTTTAATAGCAAAAAGGTCTTAACTTTTTTAACATTAGCTAGCAACATTATTCGATAAATCTAAACCTTTATAGGTACAACCTCCAACCTGCTTGCTAAGCATAAGATTATGGTAAACCTTCTTAAAGAGGACATCTTCAATTAATTTTGTTTAAACAAAACCATTACTCACCTATTAAGCCAGCAACAATTGACTTAGGCACAGCCACCTCAATAACATTTAGCCTAGCTGTCTTCACATTTTTTATTTCTTTTTCCTCTTCTTCTTTTTTAAATATATAATAAACAACAAACGCGCTCACTGTCACCAGAGATAGGCCCAAGGCCACAGGCACAATTAGCTTGTTATGCATTTCCTGAAACAAGAAGACAATTTTTTGAAAAACATGTTAAGATTTTTGTAATTATTTTTCATAGGCATAAGAAAATTTTTAAAACTGTTCTGGTAGTCTTTGCAGGAATAATATATTTAGCAGTCTAGTGTGATAAGAGTTGTAATATTTTTATTCACTATTTACACACATTGTATGGGGTAACTTAATGTATACAAAGCTATAGGGATTTTTGTTTCAACTTTATATGTCCTTTTTTCTATGTATGTGTAGTTCCTTCAAATTATGAAACAAAGTACCTATTTTGAGTTCAGTCTCTAAAGTTTTATTAAGTGCAATTTCATTATTATCATGCACGTTTGAACCGCCCCGGGTCATATTTTTTATACAAATTAATACCCAATTACTTACTACATTATTTACCATGATAATAATAAAATATTGTGTACCTATGCACGTACGATTATATGCTGACTATCGGTTGCCGGTTGCAAATAAAAACGTTAGGAAATAAATCAGATAGAACTTTTGACTACGAACTTCAAGAAATTAATATAATATTAGCACCCTCAACTAACTCGGAAACGTGTTCGAGGGAAAGTTAGAAAGTTTTAGACCACAATAAAGTTAAATATGCACCCGGTTTAATTCATCAAAATATGCTGACCCACAAATTACCTTGTACCAATGCCGATTTTACATAAAACTATCTATTAGCAGCTATGACATAATATCTAGAGTAAAAATTACTTCACAAGTTCGTAACATGATACTTTGTCACATACAAGAATTATATCATTTACTTACCCACAACCTTCACCACTCGCTAAAAATAAATTGCACCAACACAATAACACACTTTGAAGCTATTTTTCACGTGTATTATTATCTCAACAAACAATCACCACGGGCATTTTCGGCAGTGAAAAAATGTTGTTTTTATTCTGTGAAGTGAACACCAAAAAATGTAAAGTTGAACGAATGAAAAAATATCAGCACAGATAACTAAACTGGAACAGCTGAATGAGTTGTTTCGCCAGTCTAGATTTTTTTTTTTTTTTGGAGTTTATGGCCTGGATAATCGCCAGTCTAGATAATATAGAACAGTGTTGCCAAATAATAACAACGATAAAAATGGTATAAATTATCTTTGCTAAAATCCCCGTGTAAAGCTTATGTTCTGCGGATAAGAAAAACAAATTTAGAGAGACAAAATTATGTTAGTCTAAAGTTTATTTTAATGATTAGTCTAATAACTTAAATTGGTTTGTTCAATAATTTGATACTTTAATTTGGCTCTGATTAGATGACATTTAAACGGATTAAAATATGCATTATATCCCTTACCAAATCGACAAGAGCTACAAGATAAAAGCTGTGTTAAGTTCGAAGCTCAATGACAATATGTGTCTCTGTTTTTTATGTTATAGTTCGGCAAACAAGCAGACGGATTACCTGCCGGTAAGCAATCAGCGCCGCCCATGGACAACCGCAACTGAGGAGTAACGAGTGCGTTGCCGACCTTTTGGGGATGAGGAGGAGGATTAGGATTGAGGGAGGGGAAGGATTGGCCCTCCGGTCACCTCACTCACACGTCGAAACACAACTCTGTGGTTATTTCACGCCGGCTTTCTGTGAGGCCGTGGTATCACTCCGGCCGAGCCGACCCATTCTGTTACCTAACTTATGCATTTAACACTTTATGCACATAAGAACTACATGCAATAGAATGCCGGGCTTAGGTAATGCCTAAAGGCATTCTCTACCAGTCATCCCTAAGGATGACGCACAGAAGTATTGAAGTAGTACCACTACTTTATTGTAATCAATGCGTATTTTGTATAGGTACAGGCATCAGGCATCATTTTACAAAACAAAAACCAGATGTACTAAATAGAGACAAGTTAATTTTCTGAAAGGTAAATAATAATTAGGTTTTCTATTTAGTAAAACACCTTTTTGGACGAAAATAGGCTTTAAACTTGACAAAAATGATCAACAAAAATTGACAAATAACATTGACGATTCTGATCCCTTTTATAAATACTTTGTTCTACCCTGAATTCATATTAACAAGATTTACTAAAGGTTTGTAAAATTGCACACTAATCAACACATCATGTACCATCATCCCAAAAACCTTTTCAATACACGCAAAATTAAAAAATAGTCTTTAGTTTCTGAATTTTCTTTCTTTCTAGTTCTTTTTAGTTCTCCAATAATATTCAGAAACACCTAGGTAATACACTTACAACTAAATACTAAAAATCTGCCATCATATTTCCGCTCATGGTCAATAGTTCAGGGATCAGGGATTGTTGTTCCGGGTCTGGGTGTGATGTGTAGTGTATGTGAAATTGTATGTTTGTAAATAAACGCCCCCACGACACAGGAGAAAATCCTAGAGTGGGGCAACGTTTTTATAAATAAAAAAAAAAGAATCACATTTTTTAGAATAATATAGGTACAGCTCGCATGGTTCGAGAGTAAAAATAAAAATCTAGTTAAGATAATAAAAATTGGGTCTTGAAAATATGTCACTCCGCGTATGGTATAACTTCATGAATGGTATGCAAAGAATTCTTGATGCGTCTAATGTTGCAAAACAACAATCGTAACTTAGCAGTCAAATATACATAGGTAGGTACATAGTTTGCAAGCTAGATATAAAAGCTCGTAATTTGAAATTATTATTACTCGTAGGTATTCAGTATCTATATTTTCATTTAACAAGTTACCTTCCCTGTGTTTCATGTTACAATAAAAGTAAAGGTAAGTAAACTTAGAGAAGTAGTAATCATTGACTTAAAAATATAATATTAGTACCTGTATAAACGGTGAAATTGAAAAACTTCTTCCTTTTTGTAGTCGAAATTATAGACAAAATACCATATGTAGATCGCAATAATAGGTACCCGAACATAAGTCATCAAGTTTAACCCTGTAGCCCTTTTCTCCGGCAATGAAAAGTAACCGTAGGTAATGGTAAACAAACTGTTAAATGAATCGCGTGACTATGATGGCACGAACCTATCCCATGAACAGTCAAGCTTTAATAGCATGGTTCGCGGTTCATAACTCAATTTTCGTCGAATAATGATCTGCACTTGCCCTTTCCCACCAATAGCATTTAAAAACTCGCAGTAACTGTGACTTTCTTCACTTTTCTTTCAGATTTTTGTTGTTCTGTGGGACCTGGGATACCTTAGATGTAATCGCTTTAAAAATACTGTAGCAGGATGACTTGGGACATCACTTTAGGTAAGAATGAAGAACATTTTTACAATGTTAATAATTTTTATACGCAACATAATGATGTCAAGTAAAATATTTCTAACAGAAAGTGGGTCAACAAGGCGATGGGTACGAAGGATATACGAATAATAAAGTAATAAATAAACGTTCAACTATGTTCTTGCATCGACACGACCTTTGCCATTTTTTCATGTCTTTCAGTTTCATGTCGTAAATAAACGATTCGCTCGTTCCGATTGCTGATTTTCAGGGGTGACCATGCTGTTCTGTTTCTTTTAGAATTCTTTTTTTAATAATTAGGTAGGTAGGTAGGTACTTCATGTAAATAACTTGAAAAATATAGTCTCAATGTGTTCAGAAAACTGTCTTATTAATCTTTAATTACTATATCTGCTGTAAATGTCCAAAGGTTGACTGGTAGAGAATGGTTAACATGAAGTAAAATAAATAAATAAATACATTGGTTAAGGAAAAATAAAAAAAAATCAAAGCAGCACAAACTAAATCAATTAAAAATGAGGTTAACGTTATCACATCGATCCACGGCTTGTCGTTCTTTCTATTAAAGGACGTAAAAGAAGAATGTCCTGAATTAAAGTTTGCAATATGATCACACTAAACAGAGACAGCGAGCGTGCGGCTCAATAAAGCGTAATATGGTTGGATTTGTCATATTTTTTTATTATCCCCGGTCCCAACAATCACGAAAGCTCTGCGATTTGAGAAAGCGAGTCTAGTCGACAGTTTACGCCAGCGTAGGCAACAAACAAACATGCAGCGACCATATTCGCGTCGATATCTTGCCCCCAATAATATGGGAGAGGCTTTCCATGGCGGTAAAAATGTCGAAAGAATTGTTTTTTTATTATTATTAAAATTGATACCATGTCACGTGATTTAACTTATTGACGTTTAAAGGAAGTTTACTATGTTTTTGGTTTGATAAACACAAAAGAAGTCGTATGTGTGTTTCGTTTTTCCTTCCAGATTTCGAATATGTAGTTACAAAGAAGCCACCGCCACGAATATGTTTTGGTTCTGCACAAGAACGTGTAGCGTTGCCGTTGAAAGGACCTTGCCTAAGTCCATTCATGCGAAGAATGGCGATAGAAACTAGAGAAGATGTAGGACCTACCACATATGAGATAAAACGTGACGCGTTTTCTGATGTAACAAACAGGGTTTGTACCTTTATTTATATACCTACTTCTGCATTTTGGCAACAGTCTCTTTCCGCCCACTGCTGGACATAGTCATCTCCAATAAAACGCCATTGAGCTAAATGTTCAGCTCTTTTGATCCAGTCCCTGCCATTCTCCTTACGAATATAGTCAGTCCATCTAACTGGAGGGCGCCCCACACTATGTTTGCCTCCACTCCAGAACATTGATAGATCCTTTGAGCTAAGTCGACAACTTTAGTTCTCTGTCAGATGACTTCTTTTCGAATTCGATCCATCAAAGAAACTCCCGTTCCTTCTCCTGCTCTGGGCCGAGGCCGCGGTGACTCATTACGCTTACCCCGCAACCCCGGCTGAACATCAGCCCTATAGGACCCCGTCTGTGGTGGTCCATTGGTTCTTTGAGGCGCACGCGGAATACTACGCGCCGTACGCTCGGGTCCTAGTCGGGCGGCGAGCTACCCTTACTCGCCGTCCGCAGACCCGCGCTTACGGTGGCCGGAGATCATATCTCGATCCCCGACGCCCCGAATATCGCCTACTACGGCGGCTGGGCTGCGAGGAGGATAGTCTCCTCACGCACTCCGCCTCCTCCTTTGCGAGCATCACTACTTCGCAGAAAGAGCAGACAGCTTTCCAGTTCCTCTCGCTACGAACCATGGCCTTGACTAAGGCTGGGCGCGAGAGGTCGCCGCCGCCGATCACTTCCACTAGGACACGGCGGCGATCAGCCCAGGCAGGGCACACCGCCACCATGTCCTCTAGGAAGCCTGAGATCCGGCTAACTTCACAATAATGCATAAATCAATAATTAAACTTGATTATAATACCCCTATAGTAAACTCCAAACTTTGTCTTTGCTATCAGGTAGACAAATAATTCAGTCGATATTCACACATAGTTTTATTTTTAGATTTATAGCAAATACGGTTTAGGAGCCAAAACTTCGCGTTGGTTGATGAAACATGAGTATCAGCCTCCGCCACGAGCACCTCGCCCAAAAGCACCAATCAAGCAAAATTGCGCGCCATTCAATTCTACGTCCAAGAGAAAGGGCATATTTTCTCCGTCATATAACCCTGCGTAAGTATAAAAATATTTTTATTTCACCGATAATGTACTAAGCTGAATGTATTTAAATAGCTAAGTAGGGTCTAGGTTTACCTATCAATATGTAGTTAGATTTTGTTTATGTGATATAAGGAGAATGAGCTGACGTATTATCTGATAGTCAGTATTGCGCCCAGAGACACCCGCAATGGGTTGCCGGCCTTTAGAGGATTAGGGTTTAGGCAATTTAAGTATTTGGACTCACTCACACGGCGAAACACAACGCTGTGATTGTTTCACGTGGATTTCTGTCAGCCGTGGTATACTTCGATCGAGCCGATTCAGGTCGAAATGTGGCTCTCCCACACCTAAAGAGGTTTGTTCAATTAATTTGGAGTCCCCTATAATCAATCATCTTTGTATAATTTTCTTTACCATGTTTTAGACCCTGTGACTACTGTCCCGAATATATAAAACGTCAGATGAAGTTTGCATACTCTTTCTCCGGTAAAAATACATTGAAATGTGCTGTACAGGTACGTTTGTACGTTTTTTCAATTTGTTAATGATTCATGTAAATAGACCTTGTATTTATACTCAGCTTTTTTTCAGATTAAATGTGTTCCATATAATTTAGATGAATGTGGATATTGTGGATGTTCGTGCTCACAACAAGGCGACTATTGGCAATACGAAAATAGAATATTTTTATGCAGAAAACATTACAATCGTCTATTCAAACATTGTCTGTCCAAATTTCAAGGCGCCAAACTTGCTGAATTCAAGGTTAATTTCTTTTTTTTCATATTTCCATTCTTAACTATCGCGGGCTATCGTTTTTTTCACTAGTTGGCAACACTGTCAGAAGGACTCATGTCTACAAACGCTGCGCACTTTATAGTGCATTGTATAAAACCAGGTCACTTAGTCACTTCTCGCTATTCCGTGCTGAGTATGCTACAATGCTAGGATACATATTAAAACAGTACTAAATGATTCAAGAAATAGGTTTAGGTAGGTATAATAAACCTAACTTGCGTAATATAATTAAAGAAATAGGAACCGATCATTGTAATTTTAGTGATGTTTTTAATTAGCACACTGGTGCGCTTACACTAGTGTCAGAAGATCATCATCAGCCTGATGTCGTCCACTGCTGGAAATAGGCCTCCTCAATTGCACGCCACTGAGCTCGATGTCGATGGTGGTATCAGAAGATACTGTCATTGTTTCAAGCCAGAGCGCAGTTCTCTATTAGGTACACTTACATTACACGCATTTCTCCTGGAAATCCTGGTAGCTAGTTCCTATTTTTACAAAAAACAAAGAAAGATAGTTAGTGTTTTTTTATTAAAATAAATCGTTTTTATTGGGTCCAGGAAAGTGCAGACAGCGTGCAAAGAAAGCTCTCCAACGTCATTAGAAACAGAAAACTGCAGCTCTTTGTTTTTTGTGTTTTTGGCACGTCTTTTGTTAACTTCACTATTAAAGTGACGATATTCATTGACCCATAACTTATGAACCTAAATATTTTTGTATTGAAATTAATTATTTACATTATATTTTATTTTACACAATATCGTGCGGTTGATTTTGAATAATCCAGCCAAACTAACCGACAAGGTATATTTCACTGACTCCTTCTGACACAAGCGCCTCTATATTCCTGTCATTAAATTCATACAAATAACTTTCTACATTGAAATATATGTAGCACAACGTATATTACGGCCTTAATGCGTAGGTATTCAGACGTAATATATTGTTAACTGCCACATCTATGTTTGTTCAGTAAGTAACATTAATGAATTTGATCTACAGTCGGTGAGGGATTGTTTTTTCGCTCACGCACACAATAGTTGTAAGGCTGCCTTGAAGATAATGAAGTCAGAAGAAATAGTCAAGAAACTAAGGAAAGAAGCATATTTGGATCTCTTTTTCCCACAACGCCGATTTTGTAATAATTAATTGTTACATTTACTTTAGCGATTTTTTTGTTGATATATCATTTTTATTGAAACCGAACATATTAACGAGTAGATTCTTAATTTTAGCAGTTAGCAGTAGTTAAATGTTTTTTGTTAGTAGCAACACTAAGACATTCCTCAAACACAAAGAAGTCAAGTCTGGTAAAAATATATCTTAAAAAATAAATAATCATCTGACTTTTTATCGACAACATTTTACTTCCCTTCATATTTATTATTTATTTTGTTATCAAATCGATATTTTGGAGCAAGCGTAGCGTCGGAAGCGAATCATGAAACTGGACTCGAATAATAAAATGATTAATAGCGAGAGTGGCGCTGACTTATCTGAAGAAGTTGTGGATCCGCGACAAAATGCCGAGGATATTATTGATGAAATACTCGCAGAGTTTACCGAGTCGCGGTCTCCCGAAGCTGGGAGGAATGGGAACGGAATACCTGAGAATATTTTCAATATGATACAACCTCCAAGAACGCGTACTCCAGCAAATTCATTCTCTGAGAATGCCACAATAGACGATATAGACCCCGCATCGGACCTCGGTACGTCAATAAGAAACAAGTGCTTGGAACTCGAAGAGATTCTTCAGAGCCTTAAGTCGCGGCTCAATCACGTTGTTTTGGACGAAAATATCGTGCTCAGCCCAGAGGCTAACTCAATGGAAGCGCAACTAGAACACGACCTGGACACTGACTGTCAAGAAGATCTGTCCCTTCAAGAGTTTCTGGAGCTGCTGCACTCGCAAAACAAAATTAGCCCGACAGGAGTGCAATGATTGCTCAATGACCAAACCAAACCATCCCCATAAATAAACAAACATACTAAGACAAAATTAACATGAATTTATTGTGTGCAAATTGAATTTTAGATTTTATTGAAGTGCTATTAAATATTCAGGCCTAATTTCTGTAGTTTTATTTAAATGTGTGAGATAATAGTTTATAAATAAATAGCAATGATTAAGTACCAAAATATTTATTTCAACCAATAAAAATATTAACATAGCTACACAACAATACTGAATTTAGTTATCACATAATATGAGGAGTTACCCACATTTATTTTTTTTACATTTTAGCATCACTTAAGTATCCAGACTATCCATCCATATCCAATGCTACTAAATTAATCATCAAACATGTTCAGAACATCTGAGCTGATGGTCAACTCGGTTGAGTTGGGGATAGTGTCATTTTCAAACAATTGACTTTCTTCATGGCTGTGCTCATCTTCATAAGTGCTCAAACTATTCTCAGTCTTCAATATAAAACTGACTTGATTTTCAACAATTTGATTCAATACTTCAGTCTTACCACATGCCATCAAGTCAGTTTTCAATTTCTTTATCCAATTATTATAATCAGTAGGATCAGTTTTCACCAATTCCATTCTCAAGTGCTTCATAGCATCCAATGCTTTATTATACTTTCCATCAATATTGTTGAGAATTAAGCTCTCTATAGCTTTGATCATTCCAGTAGTTAGCTCTGATATATCTTTTTTCTGACTTTGCAGAGCTTTGAAATCTTCAATAGGGTTGATAGTGCTGATGCTTTTAATGCTATCCACAATCTGTTCCTTGGCAGGCATGTGAACTTTAGGTATGTTTGGAGTGACAGGATCATCAGTTTGCAGGTTTGGATTTGGCACTTGATCAATATCCATTAGATTTTTATTATGCCTTTTCTTTACTTCTACTTTGGTCAAGGTGAATAAGCTTTTCAATTTCTCGAGAGGTTTTCTAGCTTTCTTTTGCAGTAAGGGGGGTACTTTGAATAGAGTCATTATCTCTTCTCTTGGCTTTGGTAATGGTTGGTCTGGGTTCAGTGCACGGAAAGCAATGCAGTCCAGCACATACTGTACTGAAGGACTCACACACTCTGCCACAGGGAATGCTTCAGTGTCATCAAATGTGTCATCATATGCATCGGTCAAATCCATAGCACTGATTAAATCTTTGAATGCATCCACTTGCTCTTCTGAACATTTGTATTTTTTTAAGTTAGTTGTGGGAAAAGACATTTGTTTAATCTCATCTTTGTAACATAAACCAATCATGGAGAGGCATACATAATTGTTAGTATCAATGACAGGCATAAGAACATTCAGTTTTGGTAAATTGTTGTTGTTGTATACTTTTCTTACTATGCACACAAGATTTAGTTCATGAAGGCATTCCACAATACATCTAATAACCTTTTGTGCTTTCTTATCACCCTTTCTGCCAAATACATATGATAAACCATCACCATTTAGGTTTTGCCATTGAATATTGTCAGCTGAAGTGAAACCATATACTGTTAAGGATTTGACTCCAGACTGGTACAACAAATTGTTGTCAAAGTCACCTAATGGTATAATCTTCTGGCCATAGAGGTGACCTGCTACTTTATCAGCTGCATCAACTGCCTGGCCGGTTTCTTCATTGATGTATTCTTTTGTTTTAGTCACAGATTCATATATGCTGGACTTGCCTGTGACAGGGTCTTTGACAGATTTCACCCAGCCTTTCACTGCTGGTTCATCTCTGGTTCTGATGTATGCAGACACTGGTATTTTAATATTTGGACCAATGCTTAGATCAACATTCCATGGTGTTCCCTTGACAAGCTTCTTCCTATGGAAGAGTAGGTCATACTTCATGATGTTTTCTATAGTGCTTGTTACACCACCGGTGCTGTCTATAAACTGTTTGACTAACTGTACTGACTCATTTTCTTGAAATTGTTTAGATTCAATGTCTGGACCAATGACACTTACTTCATAGCCCTCATCTGTGAATCCATTTAAGACCTGTAATATTTATAAAATAAAATTAATAATTAATTTTCAGTGAAAACTAATATTATTTGAAATAAGAGAATAACTTTCTTTGGGTATGAGATGGAATTATACATATTGTATTAAATTTACCTCTTCAATGTTCTCTGGATCTAAAGATACACTCTTCTTGAAGTTAGTTAGCAGTATTATCTGTTTGGTTTCTAACTTCACTCCAGAGAGGACATTCTTGTAATAGTCTGCTGCAACTATAAGTGCTTCAAACCAGTCCCCTTTGGTGTTTGTTGGCTGGAAAGGGAATAGTTCTTAATATTTTGATATTGATGAATTTTCTGTGTATATATTCACCCTGTTTTACCATTCCATACAAATTAAAAATAATGTATCAGGTGGCTGAGCTTACTAGTGAGTAACTATCTTATTTAATAAATAGCGGGAAGTACCTATAAAAATGTATTTTATGATCTTATAAGTAATATGTAAGTCTAATATTAATAGTAAGTAATACTTTGTTGTAAATTTAAAGTAGACTACAAAGGGAAATATTATGGAGTTCATTAGCAAAAGTGCAATCATGCAATTTGCACAAAGTTGCATAATGTTAGAAAAAATTATCTTTAGGGGCTTAAAAGTTATATCAAAGGCTTAAGTCAGGCAAATATTTTAATTACCTGTTCCGGCAGCTGTCTGATCATTTGCCAAGTGGGAGTAACCATGTCTATGACTTGAATGCGCTTGAACGCTCCATCAAATTGCCTTGCAAGATTGTTATCAGTAGTATTTGATCCCACTAAAATTATTCCAATTAGGTTTTTGCCTTGGCTCAATATTTTTCGTTCTATGATTCGAGCCGCGCATTCTCTAGCACATTGAAAAAAACTTTTTTCTTCCTTCTCATTTACAACAGAAACATTTCGTCCTATATCCAAAACAAGTATTGTGCCTTGAGTTCGAGACATCTTCTGAATATTTTTAGTAATTAAAAAAAAGCGTGATTTAAACACAAATTCACAGCTTACAACTTCACACTAGCACTGATGAGTATTTTGTTTGAGACAGAAATTTTAGAACTATCCGGAGTATCCGGCAAATATTGTGATTGTAAATACAAGTTAACAAGTTCGAACAAGTACCAACAAGTTTGACAGTTTTTTTGAGATTGTTGCTGTCAGTTAAATGACAGAGTCTTGTTCGTTCTGGAATGTAGTGTGTGTAATTATTGCTAAAGTTTTGATAACTGATTAAGTTGAACTAATTCAATTAAAAATGGTAATGAATTTTATTGGGGAATAGATTATTCCAACGCTTATTAACCTTTTCGCCGCCAACAACTTCTATAGAAGTTCAGGATTTTCGTGCCGTCCACGCCACTACTTCTATAGAAGTTCATTGTATCTACCTACTATAAAAAATACATTTACGATACATAAAACATTTGTTTCTTTGTAATTTTGTAATATGGACACGACGAACTATTTTTTCTCATGCAAAACAGACTATTTTCTGTTTTAAAAAGGTAAAACATAAAAGGTTTCAAATAATTTTATATCCCGCACGCCAACGACTTCATATCAAGTAGGCCAGTGATGTGACGCGTAAGGAGCATTCATTAGAATCTTTATTTACTATAATATTTGTTTTCTTTTCCATCCAATAGTTTTTTGAATTCTATGAATAAAAAGAAATTCCGGTCAGTAAATAACGTATTACAATGCGTTTCAAAATTAATGTACATCTACCTATCAAATCATTTCATTAAAATTAATTATTATGTACTGAGGGTTTTCGATATTGCTAGACCCATCTCTACGTAATGGCAAGATGTCGAGTGACACTAGCGCCGTCAACTTCAATAGAAGTAAACCTGTGACGTCGTAAGCGCTTAGGCGTCAAGGTCATTGTGTCATAGTTCCGGGCGACGCGTGCACGCACATTTTTCTTTCCCAGTGCAGTGCAAAATGACCGAATATGATTCGGATGAGTTGTTGCGGCTGTTACAAGGTGTGGGACCTGATTCCGACTTTGATGTTGAATGGGAAAGCACATCGTGACCTGACGTTAGATTTTAAATGTAAACTAAAACCAAAAGCAAACCAAACTCGATAGAAAGAAAGAAAAGCATAGACAACTATTCCTTACGAAATGTATCGTGCTTTGAACGCCAATGACTTGATATGAAGTAAACAGACTACGTTATGAAATGAATAGTGAAGTGGCTAATGTTACGAATTATTATTATTATCTCTAGCAACTCTATGCATGTATCTTCATCTCTGATAACGGATACCCATTTTTCTTAGTATAAATGTTCATAAAATAAAACAAACTACCATTATAACTTAACAGTTTGTATTTTTAATTGTAAATTTGAGTACCAATTTAAATTTACACATATTTTTTTTCATTATCGACATGATGTTACCGCCATCCCCTACTTTCGTACTATACATTTATACGTTGGCGTACGGCGACACATCGTGTTTAGTATAGCTGGGCGGCGAAAAGGTTAATAATTTCTATAATAAAAAAAGTGGACTTAGGAATGGACCCTGAAGAAAGCAATGCGAGGACATCTCTATTTACGTCACATTGCGAAGCGTCAAAAGTTATCATCTCAATCGATTGTTGTTGTAAAATTGTTTACAAAAAATACAGCAAGCTCAAAACATTTCTCATTCACAATGATAATATATATCTGTCTTGTATCGTTCGTTTTGTGGGTCGGTTATAAGTTTATTTAACTCTAATCTTTCATTAAAATAAAAATGTAATCTAAATATTACTTATTATCGTAACATACATTTCAATTTTATTAGAAAATGTACTAAAATATCAACAATGTCTACAATTTTCGCTAATAGAAGTAAAATTATAACAGAAATGATGAAGTTTTCATTTCACCATAGAGCTTTTTATTGTTATCTTGGGATGAGTGTTTGGATATTCTTTTTAATAACAGGTAAGAAACATTCTACTTTATGACATTGCTAAAAATAAAATTTTGTAGCTACTAAGGACTATCTCAATATTCAAGGCTGTTCCCTATGATGTTTGTGTAAGAATATTAAGTGTATTTGCATTAGCAAGATAAGAACAGAAGATATTTAATGTGTTTTTATTTCATATTAAAGTAGTAGTTGTAGATACCCAAGTTATAATAATAAAATGAAATCGTCATTGCTTCCAATCATTCTGTCGATTTTAGTCTAGTATTGAATTCAAGAAGTTGTGTTTGTTTTTCCTTTTACCAAAAACAGATAGAAATCTAACTCATTTCGTTTTTAAACATATCTCATAAAAACTACTCAACATTGGATAACTTCCAATAAATTCAAAATTAAAGATATTGTGTATACATAATGTTAAAATTCATGTAGGTAGGTAGAAGTGAGATAATACAAAACATTAAATGTTTTATTGAACAGTTAGTTATAATTATACTTAAGCTTTGTGTGAACACTACAACTTTAAATAATTAAAATTGATTTTTATATGTATATTATGTATACAATTTGCTATGATATCTGTAGTTTTCGACTGATATTAATGTGACAGCTGTTTTAGCAAATAAAATATTTACACCCGTTTTGCCAAGCAACAAGTTGGGGTTCAATCCCAACTCTGTGTTATCTAAAAATTGCTGTTCCTGGATGTGATGTATGTTAAAATGTGAACACACCCACAACACATACTTAATAAACAGAAAAAAAATATCAGGATCTATATATTTATTGTTTGGGTACTGTGATGCAAGCAGTATATAAACTTACAATATAATACTTTTTAATATTAATTAATATGAATAACACAATTTTGATATCAGCGGCACCAATTACTTACCACCAGAAGTCATCCTTATCTTTTAAAAAATATTACTTTAAACAAATTTTCAGTTTAAGTGCAGAAATTTGACTGCACGGTTGGCACAGTGGCTGGGTAACCATGTAAATGTGTTGAGGTTTCAAACAACTCTGTGTGATTTACAAGTTTTTGTTCCCAGACTGGGTGTTATGTGTATGTGAAATTCTATGGTTATACACACCCACGCCACATTAGACAATACAAGTGTGTCACTTTAATTTGAATTGGGCAAACAGAATATCTCTTTTTTATGTGATAAGTCGGCAAATGAGCAAACGGATTACCTGATGGTAAGCAATCAGCGCCGCCCATGGACACCCGCAATGACGGAGGAGTAATGAGTGCGTTCCCGACCTTTCGGGGATTAGGGATTAGGAGATTTTGGGAATTAGGAGGGATTGGGGGAGGGTAAGTTTTGGGCCTCCGGTAATCTCACTCACACGGCGAAATACAAGACAACGCGCTGTGGTTGTTTCACGCCGGTTTTCTGTGAGGCCGTGGTATCACTCTGGTCGCACCGACCCATTTGTGCTGAAGTATGGCTCTCCCAGGCTTACAATTTTTTTTGCAGTATATCTCATTAAAAACGAATATTGATGCAGAGTGTTATTCATTCTTCAAATATTGCATATTTCAGTTATGTATAAGTACATGTCCTTGGGAGAAGAAACAATAGCAGCCAAGAAGATTGTACGCAATGAGTACTTATCAAAGAGTGACGCCAAGTTTCGGAGGATCTACCTGAGGGCTTGCAACCCTCCCGACAGTATTGTGAGGGGATCTGAAGGTAAATAAGATTTAATAAATGTAGGGATCGTCGTCAATTATCAAACATAACAATGGTTTGGTTTTTTCATCAAAATCCTCGTTTCCAATTAGAAAACACGGCATAACATACAAATGACAAAATAGACGCCTAGTCTTATCCTTTTATTTATCTGGTCTTAGAGTGGATCGTACTTTTCCTGAAGGGTGACGAAATAATTCCCGTAATTGAGCATATGACTGTTGTTAATGCCCACATTCTGCTTCGTGATTTGAGATTTTTCTTCTCCTTTACCTATCATTTTTTTTATGTGATAAGTCGACAAACGAGCAATCTGATTACCTGATGGTAAGCAATCAGCGTCGCCCATGGACACGCGCAACGACGGAGGAGTTACGAGTGCGTTGTCGACCTTTTAGGGATTAGGATTTAGGATTGGGGTAGGGGAAGGATTGGGCCTCCGGTAACCTTACTCACACGGCGAAACACAACTCTGGTTATTTCACGCCGGTTTTTTGTGAGGCCGTGGTATCACTCCGGTCGAGCCGACCCATTCGTGCCGAAGCATGGCTCTCCCACTTCTTCACAGTTCTCGCACTTAAACCATGTTTCGCTGTTCTTCTTGCAGAGCGCTCTGTTGCAAAAATCTTTGCTGTAAACGCTATACGCTACTTATAGAACCCACGCGTGGCAGGACCTGACCTGGTTTTTTGACGAAACTCAAGTCCTGACCCCTGTCTTCATATACTATAACTTCATGTTCTGAAACACCTTTTTCATAATCAATTTCGTTTTCATGTCACCTATATGTTTGTCTATTTAGGTAGGTACTATCAAGCGGATAGTTAATTTTAACGGAAATGTCACCGACAGTGTGGTATTAAAATTAATTTAGGTACTAATTGGGTATAACCTACATAGCTGCCATAATGTACCTAGTAGTACTTACCTAATCTCATAACCGGTAGACTTAAATGAAAATGAATTTTATTTTTTATAGGATATATGTATAGGGTACAAGGCCCATAGCTACTCGTATGTTAAATTTCGAAATAGAAGTATAGGCGATATACAACGTACCTATGATGTACTTTTTAAAGGAAAACCTCATTTAAGTCAAACCTACAGTTGGACATCCTTATGAAGTAAAAACGCATTACCCCAGACATAAAATAAATCATTTTGTAGCATATTAGTACAAAAAAAATAAATAAAAAATAAAATAAAATATTTTGCCTTTATTTGCCATATTTTTTTTTATTTTTTTTCCATATTTTTTGTCGGTTACAAAAAACAATAGGTACTACTTAAGATTTTTTTCTAGAGATGTATTTCGTACATTTTTGACTAAAATGTCGCTTATTAGATACACTTTCTTTTCACATACGATGTGTTGATTTGATTTTATCCAATGGTATAGCTTACAGTAAGACGGTTTTTGTGCTGGTCTCAAAGAGAAATGTATCTCAGTAAGAAGCTGGTAGGGGTCTTGACCATACTTCCGGGATTGCTCTGATAACCGTGGATGCCTCTCCTTCCCCAAGCAGCTCAACGTATGTTGACCTCGTGTCGCTAATGCTAGCGGCCGTTTCCGGAGGCCCATTAATTGAGCTGTCAGACGACCACAGAAGCCCATTAATGTCGCCTAGGATCTTCCTTAGGCTTCCTCCATAGGGTGGGAAGTATTTCATGAAAAAAGAGATGTATTGTATTGATTGATTTCATAAATATTATTAACTAGCTTCTACCCACGGCTTTCCTCCCGTCATTTGACTACATACCCTACTCTACCCTATCCTGTATTCCCTTTTAGTTACCTAGTGCTACATCCCACCAATTCTCACCGAAAACGGTTCAGCGGTTCTTGAGTTAGACGTAGTCTAACATGGTGTATGCTTTTATTTTTTATACATAAATATGATAATACGTAACTGTTATGCTATGTACGTAAGCTTCAAATTGATTTGAATAAGTCTCATCAAAGATTTGAAATGATTCCAGGGGTGGTAGACAGTGACACATGGATGCTGCAGGGAGCCCTAGTGGTGACACGACACGGCGACAGAGGTCCACTGACACATCTCAAAAATGGCGACAAATTACCCTGCGACGCTGACCCGGTCTCGCCACTTTTGAAAAGGTAATAGTCATAAACACGTTACATAAGTTGACTGCATAGTCGGCACGGTGACTGGGCAAAAGCCTTGAGTGCCTTGAGTGGAGATTAGTAAGAGTAGGAGTTGAAGGAGACTTGGGGGAAGGATGTTTCTCAGTAAGGAGCTAATAGGGGTCTTGACTTTACTTCCGGGATTGCTCTGATAGCCGTGAGATGCCTCTCCTTCCCCAAGCAGCTCGACGTATGTTGCCTCCGTGTCGCTAATGCTAGCGGCCGTTTCTGGGGCTCATTAATTGAGTGTGGTCAGGGGAAGGGGCTATAGTATTTCTATAGTTGTCATATAGTTATCTACCAGTCCATAGCAATTCACATCCGTATCAATATAACTTCCTACCATATTGCTTGCACAATAGACCTGCATCACCCGCGAATTGAAATTAAAGTTGTTCAACGGGCCTCTGCGAGTTGGCTTCGGCCCCTCGTACGCCTTGGTATGTGGTCATTCCAAGTATTAAGTACTTAATACTAACTAAACTACTTAATACTAAGTATATTAAGTATTTAACAATAATATTAACAACGTTTGTTTTTTTAAGTAAATGTTTTGGCGCCATCACGATTTTAGTTGGCGGTATTTTTCATGCAATGTTTTTATTGTTATTTCTTTGACTTGTTATTCTGATTGTATACAATTTTTAATTTCTAATGTGTTTATCAGTGTTGCTAGCCTAAAATGTTTTTAACATGTATAACCGATCTCAATGCAAATAATTTGATCGATATTTTAAATTCGTTGATTCATTGAGGCTGTAAATATATCTAAAAATAGATTCTATTCGAAACATATTATTTAATGTACACATAAGCACATGAGCTTAAATATATTTTATTTTAATTATATTAATTTATTAGAATAAAAACTTTTGTTAAGTATATCTCATAAACTCCACGTACTTAAATCAAAACTGTATTTTAAAACGAAGATAATCTTTATTGGCATTTTAAGTCAATTCCATTGTGTGAATACTTTCCGCTTGTTTTCGTGAAAAACATATAATTTAGATATTTAAATGACTCACGTGTCACGAACAACGCGTAAGTAATCTATTTACATTTTAGTTTGTTGTTATCTTTATACTTACTATTTTATTAGTTAGGCAATTGAGCATAATTATTTCTCATTTAAGTACTTATTTATTTTTAAAATTATATCCCACTACTATATATTCTGCACATAAACTCGCATAATTTAAATTTTAATAGTAGCATAAACTCCATTTTCAAATATGATTCTAGTAGACAATTGAAGAAGAGTTTCTTTACTCGTAAAATTGAAACAAAGTAGGTACGAGTAGCGCTATCTGGCGACAACTTCGCGGCCACCACGAATTGGGACTGAGATAATGTTATTTTTAGACCGCAGCGGTTACTTCCAAATGTTACCACTAGATGGGTCTGTGCCGATGACGCGCATTTCTGAATCGCGGTGTTAAGATTCTCCGCGACTGAACGACTTCCCCGGCACTCGCTGCATTCGGCAAGACCTTACTTCATAGGATCATTTCTATAGTAAGCTCTTCTCGAGACTTTCACACTATGTGAGTCCTCACCAGTCACGTTGATGAGACGTGGCGCGGTGCCCTGAGCGTGAGGCGGGCGGTGGTAGACCTACCATCAGCCTTCGATGATCGTTCACTCCTCTTCACGGGGGAGCGTGGGGTACTGTCGCTGTCTGAGTGGCTGTTTTAAATGTTTGAAAATTCACTTTTTTATCTGCTGCTTAAATAGGTGTAAATGTTTTTATCGTAGCGTGAAGTTTTTGTAGCTATCTATCAGTGAAAGAATTTTGGCAATCTGACCAGCGGTTTCAAAGATTACCCCCTACATACAAACTTATAAATTGCTGTACGTGCTGTCACTTTGAAGAAAAATAACTTTTCATTTCAAATATCTTTTTTATTTAGCTTTGTGATAATTTAATGTGATACTTTGAACAAACATATAAATTTAGTGTATCGATCGATCGATGAATAAAAGTAGTTATTTTTCAATATTTTATTGTATTGAAACGTCGAATTAATTTATTTTTGAACGAGGAAACTACCTAATTTGGACAATCCATATTGTAAGAATTAGTGATTCAAGAATTGCCTAAATGAAAATACATATATATTTAGGTAATCAAGATACCTCCACCCCCAGACTGCAGACGGTGATTATAACGAATCCTATACTAATTAAGGTTGCAGTCGTGGCAATTCCAACCAGCCTACTTTGGCTTTCATTAAATGGCTTTTCCCGTACGGGTGGAGCGGGAAGGAGTGTCATACTCTTGTAAACTCCACTCACTAAAAACAATCCTATTACTTCTCCGGCTTCTGGACGGGCCCGCGATACATTATTGCTGCTCTTGCACCCGCAACCCCGGCTGAACATTGGCCCCAATTGGCCCCATCTGTGGTGGTATAATGGCTAACTGTCAGCACAGAGATATAGTCATATTTAGTCCCTCCCCCTTTCTAATCCCTAAATCTCCAAAACCCTATTTCACAAATCAACGGCAAGTCACTTGTAATTCCTCTGGTAATCCGTCTGCTCGTTGCTCGCTCTATGCCCTAAACAAACCGATGTACGAGTACCAACATCGACGTACTATTCCTTACGGATAATTTTACCTACATATTATTCATAAAACTCCCTAAATAAGGTTATAAAAATCTTTAGAGTCACATCTATATAATTACATCATTTAAGTGCTTTAAAATATTATTGTCCAATATTAAGGCAAGGTTTTTCTATCAAAATGTAGACTTGTAAGCAACCGAGCATCCTCCTAAAGACTTCTTCTTTCAACCTTCAGCTACGAGGAGTTTGTAGCCAACTCCAGTTCGACGGGGCGCGCATGGTGGGTGTCGGTGGCGGGCCCCTTCCACAACTTTCCATCGTTACCGGCGCGCGCGGCCGGCACTAGATGCGCGCTAGGACAACTGACACCGCGAGGGATCCTGCAGATGATCACTGTTGGTAAGTTTTATTTCACTTTTTAATTCATCCAACCCCTAGCGAACGCCGGCGCGCACCAATTGTGTTTTTTATGATATAGGTCGGCAAACGAGCAGCACCAAACACCTGCAACACCAAAGGAGTACTAGTGCGTTGCCGGCCATTTAGGGATAAAGGTTTTGGATACTTAAGGGTTGGGAAGGGATAGGGAGGGGATGTGTCTCTAATAATAATTACGATTGAAAAATTAAACAGGATTAAACATTGTTAAAAAAAATCTTGGTGGCCCGAAAATCCGTCTCCCAAGTATGATGTGGAGGGTTAGAACCTGGCAAGTACTAAAGTAACCTTTTTCTAGTTATAAGTGCTTTCTAAGTCGATTTACAAATAACATGGTAAAGGAAAACGTGACAAAACATGGTCTAAAAAATGCTAAATTAATAGTTGTTTGAAATCGCCAATCCGCCTCCAGCAAGTGTGGTGATTTTCAGTGCCAAATTCTTTTTTTGTTGTGTTTGTTATTGTCAGGAGAAGGTTCTTATTAAATAAAATATTAGAAAGTAGAGGGGAAGATTAGGAAAAAGTGACCCTTTGATAGCGAGATAGTTGGACCTGTGCGAAGCGAGGGCGGGCCGCTAGTATAAGATAAACATTACGATGATTACTTTATTATAGTTGTTCACTTAGAAAAAGATTCAATAAAGATATCCTTAACGTAAGAGCAAGGTAGCTAGCCGCCCTATCAGAACTAATATCAGCAATTTCTTCCAGACAACCTTTGAATGGAGTTTAATCGTAGAAGAATTTAATACGACAGTTTACTGCATAAATAAACTTTTTGACTGCACGGTTGGTGCGGTGGCTGGGCAACTGGCTGTCGTGCAACGTGTCGCGGGTTCGATTCCCGCACGGAACAACACTTTGTGTGATCCACAAATTGTTGTTCCGGGTCTGGGTGTCCTGTGCATGTGAAATTGTATGTTTGTAACCGCACCCACGACACAGGAGAAAATCCTAGTGTGGGGCAACGTTTTTAAAAAAAAAAAAAAAAATATCAAAATATAATAAATTACATTTAAAGATTATGGAACTACTCTTATACAGGATGCAATTTGTTTCCAGGTAACATTTTAAGGGAAGCGTATGGAGATAAATTGAATTTGGAGGCCGTGGAACCACAGGGCAAAAAAGATACTGGTAAGTTTACCAAAAACTGTGCTTGTATTTTTTATTTGAAAGTACAAAAACCATGGCATGTCCTCAAAGAGGTATTACTATATATAATACTAGCGGTCGCCCGCGGCTCCGCATGCGTGGAACCGATTTTACACTTTTTTAAAATATAATAAAAAACAAAATTTCGTTACGTACAAATCTTTTCTGGACTTCCACGAATAATTTAAGGCATTGTTGAGTCAAATTAGCCAAATCGGTAAAGGTATTGTTGAGTTATAACATTACAACGAAAAGTGGCATTCTTTTTTATATATATACTAATATACAGTCTAAATCTGTTATAACGACATCGAAGGGACTACTCATATTGAGTCGTAAAAACAGATAGTTGTAACAACCGGTAACAGGTATTAATCGAAAAGATAATAAGTTTATAGATTCACGCTTGCTGATTGGCGGCTCGTGACGTAATCAAATCGCAGTTGAAAATAAAAATGTGTAACTTCTAATTGAGAATTCATTCATCACTTATGGTTGTGAACTCCGGTGTGGCCTGTAAATAGTCGAACGCACTGAAACCGGTTATTCGTTCATTTATTCTCGTTTCATTCAATCGACTTGTCGTTGTAAGTTAGAACAATATTTACAAATAGAACGCAATATTTTCCAGGTGAAGTAATTTCATACAGCACTCGCTACCGTCGTACATATCAGTCTCTGGTCGGGTTGTGGTACGGGGCGGCGCGGGGCGGGGCGGGGGCCAGGGCTGCGCCGGCCCGCGAAGCCCATAGTGTCGCTTTCTGCTTCCGGGATTGCGCTTGCGCTGCTCACCATGCACTTAACAAGTCAGTATGATTTTTGTCTGATTTTAAATTCTAACTTCTAGAAGTTGTTGTAGTTTCAGCCGGGGTAAGGGGCAAGCGTAATAAGGTACCGTGGCCTCGCCATGGAGAAGGAACAGGGGGTTTTTAGTTAGTAAGAGTCTGACCCTCCCTCTCGCCATACCCTAGTCGAGAAAAGTATTTTAATTTCTGGAATAAGTCTGCAAACGAGCTTCCGATTACCCGAAGGTAAGCAATCGGCGCCGCCCATGAACACCCGCAACACCAAAAGAGTTACGATGCCTTGCCGGCCTTTTGGGGAAAAGGATTGGGAAAGGATAGGGGAGGGACAGGGATTGGGGCTCCAGTAACCTGACTCAAACGGCGAAAAACAACGATGTGGTGATGATTTTCCCTCCTCAATAAAAGGAGTTGTAGTTGTTGAGAATGTTTGACAGGTTTGTCCCAAAAGGCAGTTTATAAACGTAACAAAACTAATTTTCAAATATTTTATTGTAATAAGAGAGCTTTCAGAGCTTTCCATACATAATCAAATTCTTAAAATTCCAGAAAAATAAACACGCAAGCAAAGAACCGTCTTGAATCTCACCCTGCAATCAAGGAGCTAGTCAGTAAACTGTCCAAAGTATTGTTTGAATCTCAAGAACATCCTGACGCTGACGTTGTGAGGGATGCCCTCCTCGCCTACATGTGCCACGACGCTGCCCTCCCATGCACAGAGAAACCAAAGCCCCCAAGTAAGCCAAAACTCTCACTAGACAAAAAGCACAAAAAGTTTCGACCGAACACAATTCCTTCTAGAAAGATTTTGGATGTGGATATTGATACGTTGAATATGGAACTGGATTACATAAATAACCAAATGGACTTCAATAATGAAATAGGTAGAAAAGCCAGGGATATTATAGGCAAGTACTATGATAGTAAGAAAGCCCCTCTAGACTTTGACGCTCAAATGGAGAGAGAGAAATTATTATATTACCAACAGCGCTATTTAGACAACGCCGACGGTTACGAAGACGTTGTTATTGTGAAGAAGAATTTAGACGCTGATTTCAATTTCCCGAACGACGCCCGTATGGATACGGACTTTGACGAGGATTACAAAGAACCGACCCCAGAGAGTTCAGAAGACTTCTGCATCAAAAAGGAACATGTAATGTCCTTGTTTGCGTACTTAGAGTGGAGTTATCGGCAGGAAATTAAAAACGTACACAATAGAAGAAGAGGGTTGCTAGTAGCGTACGGTTTGATACACAATATTGTTCAGAATATGATTCGGATGATATCTGAGAATAAGCCCAAGTTTGTCGTCTACTCCGGCCACGATAAAACCCTGCAAGCCTTGATACTTGCCCTCGGTCTCCATAACTACCAACACTACAACATACAATACGCCTCAAGAATGATTTTCGAGGTATACAGAAAGAAAGATTTGCGGGACGAATTCAAGTTTACGAAAAGGAAAGCTATCGCACAAGATTTTTATTTTCGTGTTGTTTATAATGGGGAGGATGTTACAAATAAATTGAGTTTTTGCAAATCTAAGCAGAATGTTGTTATGAAGGTCGTCGACCCGATCGATGACGTAAAGATTTACAATACATATCTTTGTCCTATAGAAAATATTGTGAGGTTCATACACGATGATTATTTTGCCAGTTTCAATGTGACCAATTTTAAAGACGCGTGCGCAAGCTACGGGAACTCAAAACATATCTATTGAAATCTTTTAAGTACTTTGTAGGTAGATATTTAATTTTGATTACTTATTTATTTTAAGTACTTAATTTTTATAATTAAGTGAAAGTGCAGCTTAAATGAGATTTTTATGAGATTTTGTATAGTTATTTGTAACTTTAAATACGTGTTGAACCCCAAAACTGTTCTAATCGTTCTTAGATGTGTCTTGATCTTTCAATATGAATGAAATTCAAATTCGAACGAATGAATTTTAAAGAATGACTAATATTTGAATGCACAGTAAATGTGGTCTTCGTCTCAATTCTCGCACAGAACAATTCTTTATGTAATAAATGAGTATGTTGCATGGAACAGGCGAAATACAAGCATAGGGCGACGTTTATAAAAAAAATAACTTTAGACTTAGCTATGGATCTCCCCCTAGGTGGGTCGAGGACGGCATTATTAGGGTCGCTAGAAGTCAATAAATGCAAGTAGCAAGTTGTTTTTCGATGTGAAGGACTAAAGGGAAGGCCTTTGTCCAGCAACGGAGAGGAATCTTTCTTGGGCCCACAGAATATTTTCCTATGTCATGAGTGCGTTATATTTATAAACAAACAACTTTACATACACATCCAGACCCGTAACAATAATTTGTGGATCACACAAAGTGTTGTTCTTTGCGGGAATAAAACCTGCTACACTTTAAACAGTAGCCTGTCGCCCAGCCATAAGAGTACGGGCGGTGATTAGGATGCGCTCTCATATTAAAGTTACAAATAATTGTGCGTATAAAGGATTATTATAATAAGTATAAGTACAGAAGGCATTAAGAAATTACGTAGTTAATTAATTTGAGATTATTTTTTTATTATGTAAGTTAACAGAGGCATATCAATTTTTAAATTATACCTAAATTATTATTTATAATCATATCATAATTTATTTTTGTGGTTATTTCTACGAAACCTAGACTTAGACGATCTCTTTTTTATTTAATTTATATTTTTGTAAGTTAATTTATTTGGTTAATTTATTTGATTTTTCAATGGTTAGATAAAAGTTACCTGGTTAAATTATGATGCTGTCGCGTCAGAATGTTTGCATAAGACAGTGACAGCAACAATTTTATTCCTCAGATAACATTTATCTGACTATTGAAAAATTAGCCCTTGGTTTGTAATTTTATGATTGTAATTTCAAATGATGCTAAGATATCCTCATGTATATTATGATTTTTGTGACTATTGGTACTTATAATGTCTTTATAAATAAAATAAAAAAATGTGGCATCAATAATAATATGTACCGGGTAAGTTCAGGTTACTTTGACCCTGCGAGTAACTTTGATAAATATCTTAACCAATAAATAATCTTAACAGATCTTTAGAAATTGGATCCAAAGTGATCCTGCGGGGCCAATCTAACCCGAAATAACTAAGTTCTATCGGTTTAGATGGTTAAACCTTTGACTGCCGACATTGAAGGAAAATCCTCCGTTAACTGAGGTCACCGGTGACTCCCATGGCGTTTAACGTGTTAACTAAAGGTTCAGGTAAATCTTGGCATATTTCATAGCGTCACACTAACATATTTTTGTTATGCTTTTTGCTCTGTATGCCCCTAATTATTGTTTTTAATATTGGAAATTGCATTGTATGTATAAGTTTTACTTTTTAAATCTAATTATTAAGGTCACAGCTTATTAGAGTCAACTGGAATCCACTCCACACCGACTAGCGGTCGCTCGCGGCCAAGACTATTTGATAGCGGTCGCTCGCGGCTCCGCCCGCGTTGATGACGACAGGACAGGACGATTTTACACTTTTCACGATATTTTTCTCTGGACTTTTACGAATAATTCAAGACCAAAATTAGCCAAGTCGGTAAAGGCATTATTGAGTTATAACATTACAACGTAAAGTGGCATTGACTTTTTACACATATACTAGCGGACTCCCCCGATAACTCCAAACAAATTTCAGCGAAATTGTTAGGGCCATTTCCGAAATCACATGCTTTTTCAAGAAATCAGCGCCATCTGCCGGGCTGATTTGTGAATTTAAACCATCCAGGGCGCCACTCAAATGCATACAGAAAATTCATTTAAATCGGTCAAGCCATTTAGGAGGAGTTCAATGACATACACACGTATAGCAGGATTATATATATAAAGATAGTTATGGTCTTGTATGCTATCTTCCCATCAACTCCGTAGGGTCATCAGATCGCCTCGTTTTTGAGCCTTGTACGCGCAGATGACGGATAAACCACTCGGAGGCAACTCGCTGCACCAATGCTTGCGTTCCGCATGCTCGGGTTGCTAATAGCTCTAATGAGTTGTGATCCTAATCCTAAAACTGATGCCATATACATATCTCCTTTATGGAAAAAATTAAGACTGCACAAAGAATCTTTTGTGATTAATTATACTTAATTTATTTTATTTACTTTTTGTTTGCTACATTATTTTGTAACTGATTTCGTTTTTTTGAATTTTTTTCCGCATGTGTCTTCCCAGTGTAATCTTGATAATTACTTATTTATTATTTTAAAACGATCTCAATAATACTTTTGTGTTCCTAATCAACATACGAATGTGTACTTATCAATTGTACGAATGATATCTTCAATAGGTGACCAAGTAATAAACTGTTTCAATCGTGTTTTGCTGTTTTTACTAGCATACGAAAAAAACCCTAATCTCAAATGCGACACCTATATTTTTCTAGTTATTTTCAAGACATAAGGCCAACTCAACAATTTGAGGGATTTCATATACCTATCGACTTTTAAAAATAAATAATCTTTCCCTGATCTAAATTTTATCCGGTGTGTGTTCATTTACACGTCATACCTACCTAGCTCCGGGATAAACATTCACATAAAGTTGTTCCGTGCGAGAATCCTCGAGTACGGCAGTCGGTTGTCTAGCCAAGCACCACCCGTGTCACAGATTATTATAAACTAGTGTACAGTGTTCACCTTACACCTTGTTTATTATTGTTAAAATGTTATGAGTACCGCGTCGCGACCCTAGTTAGGGAATTTGATTAAATAAAACGATGTTTACTGTTTCACGGATTTATTTGTATTATGTAAAGTCAAATTATTGCCAAGTAAAGTGCGATGCACAGCATACTAAGTGCAACGTCAGTATTATTACTAAACAATACAACGCCGCATCTTTTCGCCATCGTTCCACGCGAAAAATTTTCATCCCCATCACATAAATGGTCGGCAGTCAACAACTGTGCGATTCACCCGAAACTTTCTGCTCCGCACAGCAAAACTTTGGAATGATCTTCCAGGAGCGGTATTCCCGAACCGATACGACCTTTAAACCTTCAGGAAACGAGCATATTCCTTCTTAAAAGGCCGGCAACGCATATGTGACTCCTCTGGTGTTGCGGATGTCCATGGGCGGCGCCGATCGCTTACCATCAAGTGATCCGTCTGCTCGTTTGCCACCTATTCCACAAAAAAAAAAAATACAAAATGTACGGGTTTGCTCGTACAAGTAGTCAACCGCACGATAAAGTAGGCACTCAAAAATTAGTCACGTGTATTATCATCCATTCGCATTTCCCTTTAAAAAAACGCGATATGATGACGTTTTACATACATAGATACTAAATAAACAAGGACATAAAACAAGTGTTTACTAGCTTAGAAATCTAGTATGATAAGTAGGCAACAATAAATTATTTCATTCAAATCGCCTTGCATCATTGGTTGGTCTTGTCGTTCATAACATTCCCACGTACAAGCCAAGGTGGGATAAATAATATCATTATTTATGAGTAAACAAATACTACAGTAACTACTACTACATAAATCCACGACTGATATTTGTTGCCAGGGTTGGACAACGATGTACCTAATTGCGGTTGGTTGGTACCTAACAACCTACCTAGTCTAGCCATAAATACTGTAACAAATAAAAAAATATATTTTTTATTGCAAATAACATTTATTACTTTTACAGTATGTAAGTTTAATACATAAATATAAAACATAAAAAGCTTATTCGAAGTGGTCTCCATTGGCTGCAATACAGTCCTTTAAACGTTGACGCCAGTTATCAATAGAAGCACGCACTCTTTCCAAGGGAAAATTCTTCAGTGCCAATCGTATGGATTGTTTTAGGGAGTCCAAATTATCATGACGTTTAGAGCAAGCCCTACTCTCTAAAACTGACCATAAATCATAATCCAGCGGATTAAGATTGGGACTAGACGACGGCGAGTCTTCAGCTCTGATGAAGTCGGAAACGTTCGTTTCCAACCAAGACTGCGTGGACCGAGCTTTATGACCCGGCGCCGAGTCTTGCTGGAAGGACTTTTGTTGGTTATTGAACATGGTGTTGTTAAGAGGCTTAACTACATTCTCAAGAATGGTATTTTGATACACTTGTGCCGATGTTTTGATACCTTTTTCGCAAAAGTATGGCTCAGTCACTCCTTCATAGCTAACACCCCACCAAACCATCACTGAAGTCGGATAATGCCCACGTTGCACTCTGTCGACTAATTGAGAAGCTTCCTTAGAGCTTTGAGCATAAATACGGTAATTTTGTTTGTTAAAATGTACACAAAATTTTTCTGTGACCTCCCTTTGCGTACCGCTTCGGTAGTTGTTTAGATTTTATCACCCATTTTTTTTTTAAATTATAATTTAAAAAATGTCCTAAGTCATCTTTTAAAATACGCGACATGGTTCTAGGTGCTATCTTCATCTCCCGAGATAAAATCTTTTGCTTTCGGACAGGATTTCTTCGCATTCTTTCCCTTACTGCTTTGACCACCTTTTTCGTACGACCACTACGTGGACGGCCAGATCTTTTTCTGTCACAAACAGAGGAGGTCTCATTGTACCTATTAATAGCCCGGTACACAAACATTTGACCAATGCCAAGCGTGTGGAGAGTTTTGAAAATTGCATTTGGCTCCATACCCACTTTGTGTAATGCAATCACAGCGATTCGGTTCTCTTTATCACCTTACTCCATTTTAATATCGCAAAATATTGAACAATTTATTAGTGCCAAAAAAAAAATATATAAAAATGACATATTCCAAATTCAAATGTAATATTTTGTTTATTTTTAATTGTAACAGTATTTATGGCCAGACTATGTATATATGTTTGTGCCTTCTTTTGAAAGTCGGTTAAAAAGGTGAAACAACCACAGCGTCGTGTTTCGCCATGTGGGTGAGGTTACCGCTCAATCCTTCCGCTTCCCCAATCCCAAAACCAAACCTCCAAATCCGCAAAAGGTCGGCTTCGCACTCGTAACTCCTCCGTTGTTGCGAGTGTTCAGAAGTCCGTCTACTCGTCAGCCGTCCTATCATTTAAAGAAAGGCCGGCAGTGATACCTAATAACAGCATAGGTCATCAAGATTTAGTTTGCTTAGCAAAAAATATTGTTATTTTTTGTTACCATTTCGGCACGTGGTATGTACCTAATGTGAGTATTGAGGATGGCCCAACTCACAAAGCTCCCAATCTCCAAATCTCTAACCTCCCAAAGGTGGGCAACGCACTTGTAACTCCTGATGTTGCGGGTGTCTATGACGGCTAACGTTTTTCTACCTTGCTGTGGCGTTAAAGGGTCCATTAATATAAGCTTTACCAGACCTTTTGTAACACCTTTATCAACTTTAAAATGATTATGGGTGGCAGCAGGACTGCTCATCCAATCACTATAGCTGTCAAAATTTAAACATCCAATGGTGCGGCACCAGCTAAATCTCTATTGAGGACCATAGCTGAGTTATCTGGTGAGTGTTAAAACCCCATAACTTACTTACCATCAAAAATCAGGCCTATCCTATAAAAACTGATGCACTTGCTTTTTATGAAATAGGTTAAGCCAGTATGTCCCCTGCAGTGAGTGATGATGCGACCTACGATTTACCACACATGCACATAATCCTCGAAAGAACCTAACTCGACGATACCCAGGTATAACCCTTCAGGGAGACAGGCTCTGGCAAAAAACTCTATTCTTTGGCGGTACTGATGAAAGACTCTGTAGACTTCTGGAGGGGAATAGCTCGTATAGGATATCCCCCAAGAAGCGTCGATGTTTTTGCCAATTGAGTAGTGACTAGGGCGAAAAAGTTGAGTTCACAATAATCAGTAACTAATTGCGTATGAAGACACATTCAGTGTCGCTTGCCAGCTGAAAATACGGCAGTATGGATATAAAGAGCGGTTACTAACCTCGAGTATTTGGGTGAGCTATGAATGCACGAGTGCACGTGTGTACGTGACTATAGTACCGTCTGATGCAAGTGCAGATTTGTTGTTGACAATCTCTTGTTGCCAATGATTAAAGATTTTATAATTAGACTTCATATTTATAGGTACTGGAGCAGATCTATAAGCGAACCCGGTGCCTGTTGCAGGCGCCAAGGGTGGCCATTGAAGCTGATTAGGGTGTTATTTTAAGGTTGCAATTTCATAATCTTTCGGTCTAAATAAGCTAAGAGCATACTCTTAATGACTTCTTTGGGTGAGGAGAGGACTTTTCAAATTAATTTCAATATTTGACAAGTCAATGCTCGCCGAGCCGAGTCGCGGTAACATACCAATACCAAGTCTATACGATCTTGAACTGGTTATAGTTCATACAAAGATGTATTTTGGGCGAGAATTGAACTCGCAAGATTTTGTGCAGCAGCCTGTTGTCAAGTCGCTTACCGTATAGTTTTTTTTGAGGGGGTGGGGGTGGGATATCTCGCCCAGGATTATCGTCGAGAGGGAGTGTCAGACTCTTACTGACTAAAACCACCTCTTTACTACTCCAGCTCCAGGCAGATAGCGCGGTACCTTATAGCACTTGCCCTCCAACCCCGGTTGATTTAAATTATGGTGTTATTCGTTTTCATTCAAATTGTGATATCATCATCATCATCAGCCTATAAGTGCCCACTGCTGAGCAATGGCCTCTCCTCATACGGAGAAGGTTAGAGCATTAATGACCACGCTTGCTCAATGCGGGTTGGCGATTTCAAACTTATAATTAGAAATTATAAGTCCAGGTTTCCTCACGATGTTTACCTTCACCGTATGTCAGTGGTGTCTAAATAATTATAGAAAGTAGGTACATATAACTTGGAAAAAGTCACATTGGTAGGTACTTGCCAGGTTTCGAAACCAAACCTTCATGCATGAGAAGCGGGCTACTTAACCTCCGGGCCACCAGTACAGATATCCAGTACGGGCATCCAGTGCGGATATGGCAATATGTAAAAGCAGGCGTGTCCAGCAAATGGCAGCTTAATGGACTCCAATGAGATCATTCGTCCTACGTGTCAATTCACTAATCAACCGTCTTACGCCAGTCATTGACTCGGCGTGTTTGTGCGTGTACGTGACTGCCGTACCATAACTCTGGCACTGTTCTTGTTGACAAAGAACATATACCTAAATAAACTGATGCTCTGATGAAAGATACCTATCTGTTTTGTTACTTCAGAAATGCAGTATACTACACCAAGATTGTTTTAGTTATTGTTGATGCTAGGGGTGATCGTCAAGCTGCCATCTCAATTATTTTTGTGTTCGGTATACGAGCAAAACAAATTAAGATTATGGACGTAGTCACTCTAAAGATTTGATTTACAAAAATTACGGAAAGCTGTTTCTGAAATACATAGTAGGTACGTAGCTTCCAAGAGAAACATGTTTTTCTGTTAGTAAAACCGAATATAAAAAGGAAAAAATACTTTTAACATTTATTCTTTATTAAATAATACTTAAATTATATTCAAATTTCAAACCTAATTTAGAATACTAAGCCACACATTATATAGCACTCCTAGAATCCATTAGACGAGTTCTAAACTCAAACAGGTGACGCCATTTTGAAACGCGGGGGCTAAAGGGCGGTGGACCAAGGTAAGTACAGCTCCACCTCACACAAATATGCCGTCGGATCACATTTTGAATGGCCACTAAAGTCTACAGGTTAGGCGCGCCAAATTGCACCACAATACCTAATAATCGTAGCGATATTATGATGGAAATATTTTACGCTAACTTCCATATTTGCGATAACTGTTTGTTTTGTGTATGTAAGTAGGTACATTCCTGTCCAGTTATGGAGTGGGCGCCGCACGACAGATTTGCCGCATGGCATATTTTACGTAGGTATATTTTGTCATAAGTTAGCCGATTTCGCACACAAAAAGTTTGGTATTTTATCGTTTGACTTTTCGTCGTAAAGCTCTTTTTTGACCGTGAGTAGGTACTTTTATGAAAAATGTTAACTAAGGTCCAGTTACAATCAAAATTCACATCACCATAACATTATAGGTACTGTTATTCCCCAATGCGATAGACAATGGCGTGGAACTGGGAAACACCTAGAAACGTAGGTAGAACAAAAATGTAAACATTGTTGAACTGGACAAAACTGGTGGCGCTCGCTTCGAGCAAGCTTGGTGATTAATGGTCAAACCTTCTCCGTGTGAGAAGAGGCCTTTGCTCAGCAGTGGGCACTTATAGGCTGATGACGATAAGTTAGTTCGCCCAATTCGATGTGTGTAAGTAGTACCTAATAGCAGCTAGGTACCTATTGTACCATCGTATTTATGAAACCTGGGCCACAGGGCTTATATTGAGGGACTTCTCCCGTCCTGCAAGTGTGGCGAGAGGTAGTGTCAGACTCTTACCGACAAAAAACTACTCCGTTCTTTCTCTCTTTCTTCTACTACACGTGTTCACGTGTTAAAGCTTGAATATTCCGGTCGAGAAAGAGGGATGAAGCTATAAAAGGTGTATAAATTCATCCCTCTGGGTGGTAGAGATGTTTACGGTATCACCATTCAGGATTGCCACAAGGCTAATAAGACACAGGTCTCAAAACATCATACAAGTATTTTAAGACATTCAAAGACTACAAAAGTTTAATTGGAAAAAGCGTGGGTGTTTTCTAGCCACGTGTACAAGATGCAGTGCCTAACGTAGTGACTCACGCTTTGTGGGAGGGGGGGGGGGGGGAGAATGTTACAGCTTTTGTCAGAGTCAGCTGTAATGTGTCACGACACCATTGCTCACTAAGAAGCACAATGCACTTTACATGTAAGCGAGTAACCAATAATAGATTTAATTATTGAAATGTGTCGAATGCCTTTTGGCATACGTTGGCAAACGACCTGGCTGATTACCTGACGGTAAGAAGCAATCGACACTGTCCATGGACACTCGAAATATCAAAGGAGTTTTTACAAGTGCGTTGATGGCCTCTTTTATTTCAGACGTGCTTTTGCTCGCTGTTTTGTTCACGTGGAATATCCTATGTCCTTTTTCGAGTTCCAAACTATGTCCGTACCAAATTTCACACAGATAGGTTCAGTATAGGTACTATACTTTCGCATGTATAATATTAGCTTGGATTTCTATAAAACTACCTACTCCACTGTTGCCGTAGCTTATGAATCTCTGCTCTGAAACAAGCAGGTGCCAATCTTGCGGATAAATTAAAGTAAGTGCGACTTGTTAATTTTTCGGTTCCACGATAAAAAAAAATACTGGAAGCTTTGCGACTCTAGATTATTTCGTCTAGAGTTCTGATCAACAAGCCTATTGTTTTCACTTTCCTAAATTGTTTCACTGTGAGATAATTCCACTGATAAGATAAGGGCTCATCTAATAAGCAAGATCTTCTTCATACGATTTACAAGCATACCTTGAGGCCCCGCCCTATATAAAAAATCCTTCAAAGAGTCCTTAGGAAGAGAAAGGTAACCCACGAAAGAAAAAAAAATAAACTGAAAATTAAAATAAAATGAGCACCTATCCACAAATTTCCTAAAGCGATCCTGCTGCTCGCGATAAAATTGTACATGGTTGCCAGCCTTAAAACGGACACCTGTACCTACGCAAGAAAAAAAATGGCTGTTTAAGTTTTGTCATTTGTGACATGCGCTAATAGAAAAGGTGTATTTCACATAACTTTTAAATCAAATACACAATTTTCCTCAATTGTGTACCTACTTAATCCTACATGTTATCGTATTCCAAACTAGAATTGTATTATAGGAACCTACCTACATAATTGTTTTCATAATTTTGGCATTATTTTGTTTATAACTTCAGCAACGCGTTGTGTGCGTTGCCAGCCTTACATTTTAAGAATAGTTAACATTCAAACACAGTTTTAACAAAACTCCTAAATCCAAGCACACATATTATTGTACACACAGGAAGGAGCTTATGATTCTTATAAACAACATATTATCGTTAAAAGTAGTAAATTCTTGCGCATTTTTCTTATCGGAAAGGATGTATTTCTTCAGCTGAATGCATATAATGCAGTTGTGCAAACTCATTTAGACGACAGACGTTATATAGGTACCTACTTACATTATGATTAATTGTTAAATTTAGAATAAGTATGATAAACCACGGCCTCACAGAAAACCGGCGTGAAACAACAACAGCGTTGTGTTTCGCCGTGAGGTTTCCGGAGGCCCCATCCTTCCCCTCCCCCAATCTCTCCCCAATCCCTAAATCTACAAAACCCTAATCCCCAAAAAGTCGGCAACACACTCGTTACTCCCACGGTGCCCATGGGCGGCGCTGATTGTTTACGATCAGGCCCGTTTGCCGTCCTATCAAATAAAAAAAATATTTCCAATGTATACATAATCGAATAGACTATATATATAAAATTTACCCAAAAACAGTCCTCGGTTAGTATACGATTATTGCGGATAATGGAAACAAGAGTTGCTATAGGTGTGGGTTGCTATGGACTGGTATGATGAGAACCGTGGATAGACTATGGCACCTGTCGAAACAATGCAATTTTTACACGTAAAAATGGCAGGTGGAGACTCGGGTACTCACCGGCCGGCCCCCCTGAAGTGGTTGCTAAATATAAAAACAGAGGGAAAACGGAAATGTGAGTGGCTAAACCAGAGAAAATCACCTTTCTACTCAGATATCATCCTAACTCACTCGATCACAGTAGAACAGCTTCCACCCTGCGAGCAAGATCATTACTCTTGCGACTCTACTCTGGACGGCCAATGAAGACAAGCTAGAGGTGGAAGACCTTGTCCTCATCATCGTTCACTCCAGCCAGCCAATGAAAGCAATCCGAAGATAAAGGAACGGTGATCTTTGTGCAATCGTGGTGATGGTAACCCGCGGGATCGCTAATTTCCGTCACCTCGCCTCGAGGTGCCCTGAGGGCTTATTTTTTTAATAGTTTACAAATTTAAGTTTCCACGTGTACCTACCAATTGAGAACGCGATTAATTTACTTTTAATAAAAAATATATTGACGAATTCTTTTTTTAAACTACCTTTTAAAAATAGAACTACGTGTAGGGTTTAAATAAGACGCATGTTACCTACAAAACAAAACATCGACTTATTCAATATTTTTTTATTTTAATTTTAAAGATTATTATGTTATGACACG